ATTTGAATTAAGAGCAATTGTACCTGATTGATCGACACAAAAAAAATTAGTAAACAAGAAGGAAAGAGAAGCAAAACACAAAACTAACTAAACAGATAGTCAACACCGTAAGCTCCCCGGCAACGGCGCCAAAAAGTGATCGCAGCGGACTCGACACTACGCTATGGCAGGAAGAGCGGATAGCAATAGCTTTTACCCGAATAGAGGTCCGGGATCGAATTTCCACAGTGAGCTAGTAGTGGAGTTGTATTTTCTGTCTAGCCTAGAGTTGCGGTTGTGCTTCTAATGTCACTTCAAATATTTTTTGAGTTTTTGTATTTATAACTACTATTATAAAACNAACATGCTTTCAATTCTCCCCATCTTGCTTCCGGACAAACTTAGACCTTGAGAAGGAAAGGGGGTGGATTGTTCGATTGTTGGTACATGGGGGGCCTTTGAAAACCTTGCCCCCGGTTGCCTTGGTTCCCGTTATTGTTCNTTGGTGCCAGAGGAGGGTCTGGAATATTGTTGTTCTCATTTGCATTTATATTGACATGTCGTCCCCTCCGTGGAACTTGAGGTAAGACCTCATCTTGTTCTAGGTCCTCTACCTCCTCCCCCGCTATCACATTGCCGAGAGGGTCATTTGCATTAAGAGTCATTGTACCTGATTGATCGACACAAACAAAATTAGTAAACAAGAAGGCAAGAGAAGCAGAACACAAAACTAGCTACACAAATAGTAAACACCGTAAGCTCCCCGGCAACGGCGCCAAAAAGTGATCACAGCAAACTCAACCTCACACAACGGTAGGAAGAGCGGGCGCTAAGACTTTTACCAGAATAGTGGTATCGGGGTCAATTTCCACAGGGATCATGGAATGGATTTGTGTATTTGTTCAGACTAGGAATGCGTGCTTGCTCCTAATTGTACTTCTAAAAGTTTTTGGGGTTTTTGTTTAATAACTACTATTATCAACTACAAATTTAGGCTAATTTATGCTAAAGGGGTATGTTCTAAGTTGTGATTAATGTAGAGAATGGCACTAGGGTCGTGGCATCACCTAGGCGGTTTACTAACGGGTAGAGACAACTAATAATAGATTGACAGATTTGGAATCAATGTTATAACCGTTGCACAACTATACCCACTCTCACACCTCTCGGTAGTGAGAGCGATTTTTCCTAATTGACTCTCGAGAGACCAATTGGATAGGCCAATTAGACCAAGCAACTAGGGTTCAAGTAGGGTGATTACTCTCTCGAGGTTTAACCCGTTAATTGGGACTACCATTTCTCATGGGTCCACCCCAATTCCTTGTTGGGTCAACTTTGGGATCATAGACTCTCTTTCTCAAGAAGAGTCAAGACCCACTAAGCTAGAATCAATGTTTGCAACCATCAATCCTTAATTAAACCATAAAATTAACCCAAATAACAAACACCAAATATCAATCTATCATTAAGAAGCAACACCTATTAATTACCCACACTAGGGTTGAGCCACAACCCTAGCTAATGGATTTAGCTAGACATAATTAAAGAAGAAACTGAAGAAATAGAAGATGAAACAACCATATTAATTAATTGCTAATGTTAAACTACAATAATCTATGATGAAACTAAGCTAAAAATGGCCAAGATAGGCCAAAACATAAGTCTCACGAGTGCAACAGCTATCAGATGTACCAAACTTGACCTAAAAATGGTAAAATGTTCTATTTATAGTGGGCTGGAAAAACTGGACAAAAATGCCCCTGCGGGGTTAGTACGGACCGCACAAAGTTGGCACGCGGCTGCACTGGGTTGCTTGACCTCTGAATCTTGCTCTCTGAATATGGTGATGCGGACCGCACAAAGATGGAATGCGGCCGCATGAAGACTGACGCGGACCGCACAAAGTTTTTGTGCGGCCACATGAATAGTTTGGCAGCTTCTTTGAACTTCTTGGACGCGAACCGCGTGACCATAGAGTGCGTCCGCATGGAGAGGGACGCGGGCCACATGAAGTGGGATGCGGTCGCGTGGTTTGCTTCTGGAATATGACACTCTCTGAACGTTTTTGGATGCGACCGCGTAGCAAGATTGTGCGGCCGCATGAGTGAGACGCGGGCCGCATGAAGTGGGATGCGACCGCATGAGCTTGACTTGTAGTTTCATAGTCTCTGAACTCCTATGGTGCGGCCGCATGACATGATGATGTGGTCCGCATGAAGTTCTGAATGTCCTTACTTTAATGATCTTTGACACTTGAGCAGGTTTCACTCTGATTTGAGCCGATCTTTGACGATTTGTCACTTTATAGCTCAAATCTGCAATCAAGCGCAATCTGTAAGCATTTTGGGACTATTTTGTAGCAAATTACACTCAAAGCGCAGGTAAGTATGGGTATAAAACATGTTAAAATCCTACTTATCAGTAAACACATTAGCCAATTGAGAAGTAGAGGAAATAGCATGCAAACTGATGAGACCAGAGTGAAGCTGCTCACGCACAAAGTGACAATCTATTTCAATATGGTTAGTGCATTCATAAAATACAGGATTTGGAGCAATATGTATGGCAGAATGATTATCACAAAAGACAGGAACAGGAGACAGAGAAGAGACCCCAAACTCTCCAAGTAATCTAACAATCCAAACGATCTCAGCAACCAACTGTCGGAGGGCTCTGTATTCTGCTTCAGCAGAAGATAGAGCAATAGTGGCTTGTTTCTTTGACTTCCAAGATATAGGACACCGACCCAATAATAAAACATAGCCACTAACAGACTTCCTTGAAATAGAGCAACTTGCCCAATCAGAATCACAATAACCAGTCAAGGCAATAGAAGGAGAATCATTAAACAAAAGCCCCAAATCAGGTGTACCAACAAGGTACCGCAACACATGCAAAGCTGCCTCAAAATGTGGGACTCTCAGTTATGCCATGAATTGACTAAGGTGTTGCACACTATAAGAAATGTTAGGGCGAGTGTGTTGAAGGAAATTTAATTTCCCAACTAACTTTCTGAACAAAGAAGGGTCAGGAAGAATATCATCAGAATCAGCAGAGAGTTTGAAATGAGCATCCAAAGGAGATACCACAGAAGTAACATGAAGACAATTGAAGTCAGCAAGTAAATCCAAGAGAAACTTTTTTTGAGTGACAAGGAGACCTTGATACTGCTTGATGATTTGTAGTCCCAGGAAGTAATGAGCCTCCCCTAGGTCTTTAATTTTGAATTGATTATCCAGAAATTGCTTTAAGGCTTGTATTTCAGACAGATCATCACCGGTTAAAAGAATGTCATCCGCATATACGACTACAATGGTAAGAGAAGACCCACACTCTTTAACAAACAAGGAATAATCATTTTTGCTAGAAACATAACCTCTAGATTACAAGGCGGTGGACAGCTTGGCATACCACTGCCGGGAAGCTTGTCTAAGTCCATAAAGAGACTTGTTAAGCTTACAAACTAGAGTGGAAAAAGAAGCAGAAACTTGCAGCCCAAGAGGAACTTTTATATATACCTCGTCCTCTAAATCACCATGCAAAAATGCATTATTGACATCCAGTTGGAAAATAGGTCAGTGTCTTTTAACAGCAACACTCAGCAAACACTTAATGGTGGTGAGTTTCACAACTGGGGAAAAAGTTTCAGTAAAATCTATACCTTCCTGTTGAGTGTCCCCCCTTATCACCAACCTAGCTTTATATCTCTCTACACTACCATCGGCTCTCTTTTTGATCTTATAAACCCACTTAGAAGATATAGCTTTCTTACCCGGAGGCAAATAATTGTCCAGGTATTGTTAGCCTCCAATGCTTGAAACTCTTTCATCATAGCATTCTGCTAGGCAAGATTAGAAACTGCCTGATAATAGAATTGTGGTTCAGGCAAGCAACCTTCAGGAACAAAGTTAGTATCCTTAGAAACAGAAACATTGGTACAAACATAATCTTTGAAAAAAGATGGGGGATTGGTAGGTCTAGATGACCTCCTCAAAGGTACAGAAACAACAGGAACAGATGGAGAAGAGGTAGAAGCAGAAACTGGAGCAGAGGTAGCTTGAGGAGAGTGAGATTGAGGAGAGGGAGCAGAGAAATCAGCATATATATGCGTAGTAGAAGGGAAAAGCCAAGTAGGAGAGGGAGAGGGAGAGGAATAAGGGAAAACAGACTCATGAAATTGAACATCTCTAGAAAAGAAAACATTATGTTTGGTCAGATTCAACAACTTAAAGGCCTTTTTAGTCATGCCATATCCAAGAAACAGTCCTTGAATGAAATTTATCACTATATGGCTTAGGCACAGCAGCAAAGCATAGACAACCAAAAACTCTAAGGTGAGAGTATACATGCGGAATACCAAAAAGTAGCTCAAAGGGTGTTTTATGGTTTAAAAGAGGTGAGGGAAACCTATTGATCAAATAAGTAGCAGTAAGTACTGTAGACATGTGATTTTTGACCCTCCCCAAAAATTTTATATTTTAGCATGTAAATATTTAATTTAGGCATAATATAGCTATTTCAACTAATTTTTAATCTTTTACTTTATTTTATTACAAGAAAAATGAAAATTACAAAAAAATATTTTAGTTTATGTATTTTTCATAAATTTAAAAAAATACAAAAATAGTACCTTATTTTTATCTTTATATAATTTCGAAAACAAAAAAATAGTTTCATGTTTAGTTTAATTAATTAAGATTAACTTTAGCATTGTGTAGTATTTCTATCTTATTTTAAAAGGAGTCAATTAAGGTGTTAGACCACAATTTTAAGAGTTTTAGAGCTCAATTCTTGGCCCAATACCCAATACCCATTAAGCCAACCCTAGGAACCCTTATAGACTCTTCTTTGGAACAAAAAATAAATAAAAAAACCCTAAGGACTTAACACAAAAGACCTAAGGACAAATTGGCAAAATACACAAAATGTAAACCTAGACTATAGACCTATAAGACCCTAGAGCTGAAAAATACACCAAAAAATAGGCCTAAAATATAAGAATCAGGGGATGACTCCTAAAATATTCCACCGCTTTCCAATATATAGGACCCTGCCCTCTTGTTCATCATCTTCTTCAAGCAGCCATCCATGGCTTTTTCTGAACGAAAAATAGGACCGCCCTGACATCGTCTTCAATACCACCCAAAAATGACCCCTTCGTTGGAGCTCCTTCTTCATTACAATAACAACAGACCAGAGCTTACACCTTCAGGACCCCTCTCTTCAGCTAGACACAGCGGCTTCTCCACCAGAAATTGTTGTTCTATCTTTTTCTACACCCACCAGGCGAACCAGACCCCTGAACTGCCTCCTGAAATCAAATGACCTCGTCACTAGCTCCCTGCTGCTAGGGTGACCCCTATGTGTCTTTTCACATCTCTTTACTACTCATAAATGCACACACATACATGGGAGAAGATCTGGTAAAAACAAAGAGAGAGTAGAAAATCGTGAAAGCAAAAACAAAGAATCATCTTCGTCTAATGTTTCGAGTTTTCAAACATGGAGTTCAATCGAGTTCGAGGTGTCGTCTGCAGTGCTGTTCGTGATCCTGTTTGAGTTTGATTGTTGTTTCGAGTTTTGGTTGTAGCGTTTGCTCGATTCCTGTCCGTGTACTATTGAAAATTTCATCAAATGAAAGGTTCGATTTTCAGTTTGTCATAGTTGTTGAAATTCTATTAATTGGAAAATAATTTCAGTTCTTAAGCCTCATTTTTTCTGCTAGAGTTTTGTTAATTTGAGTCCATTTCAAAGCTCGTGTGCGAGATTCATTTGGAGCTGACACGCGCGAGATGCTGGTCATGTTTTAAGTTTGTGATTCTTGTTCGGATTTGCTGTTGTTTCTCGGACAGATTTTGCGGATTGGAAATTCTGCAGTCGGACATCTTGCCACTGATTGTAGAGCAGTTGACGAGCTAAATTCTGTCGCAATGCATTCAGCAATGAAGCTGTTGCTGCTTAGTCGTAATCAATAGGGAGTCTTTGAAGGAATTGCCCTTCAATCTTGCCAGTAAGCTTATCTGGAGAGCATCCACTTGTTTTGTTGAAATTTTGGATCACTTATTCAGCAACATCTGTGAACTGGATTTGGTTTTTAACTTCCACAAGGTTAGGTATTTCTTATCACGCATTTGTCGCTACTTAGAGAAGGACTGATTCTTTCTTATCAGCAACGTCTGTGAACTGGATTTGGTTTTTAACTTCCACAAGGTTAGGTATTTCTTATCACGCATTTGTCGCTACTTAGAGAAGGACTGATTCTTTCTTATCAGCAACGTCTGTGAACTGGATTTGGTTTTTAACTTCCACAAGGTTAGGTATTTCTTATCACGCATTTGTCGCTACTTAGAGAAGGACTGATTCTTTCTTATCAGCAACGTCTGTGAACTGGATTTGGTACTTTATTTTGCATTATCCCTTATGTCATAATGGTAGTTTTCCAACAATCTCCTTGTTAAGTGCTACTGAACTTTTGTTATCATGTTGGTTCTCCTATTGAATTGCAAATGTGTTGGTCAATTGCTAGTTGGGTCGTGGGAATCGGGTTTTTTTAATAAAGTATGTAATATTAAAAATGGCTAATGGAGCGTGAAATCATCGTGTTATGGGTACGGTTCCCGTAACGTAGTTGTGATACCTAATTAGTTTTAAATATGAATATCCGTAGTTCTTTTAATTGAATGCATTTCCTTTGAAATAAATTGAGGCATGCCATTTAGTTGAATTTTCATGGACCTCGCAAAGTTGAAAGTGTGTAATTGCTTTAGGCACGCTATTCTAAAAACTACTTTCCTAAACTCGGGTACGCATTTATGTGACCCAAATCCAAATCTCAACAATGTTAGATAAAATGTGTTGCGGACTGCGGGTGCATTTAGGTGACGTGGTTCAAGACGCGTTTTGCATGACGTTGAAATCTTCCTAAAAAATATTATTAAATGAAAGCGGTTATAAAGTTAAAATTGAACCATAGGTTAAAACATATATTAAAATTAGATAATAGGCCAATAATAACAGTTGAGCGACCGTGCTAGAACCACGGAACCTGGGAATACCTAACACCTTCTCCCGGGTTAACAGAATTCCTTACCCGGATTTCTGTGTTCGCAGACTGTAAAAGAGAGTCAATCTTTTCCTCGATTCGGGATTTGAACCGGTGACTTGGGACACCATAAATTATCCCAAGTGGCGACTTTAAATTTTAAATAAAATAATTCCGTTTTGATTGTCACTTTAAGTTGGAAAAAACTCTCTTAATACCCTTCCAAAGGTATTAAATTTCGAGGCGTGATACGTAGGCAACCCACATAGGGTCCGGTTTTCCTAGTAAATCTTAGGTTCATGGCTTTGCGGGGTCTTAGCCAAATTTTGTACTTCTAGCCATCTTTTGGCCAAATAAGTCATTTTGCAAAAATAGCCTAAATCATGTCTCGCATGTTTCCAACAGGAAGGGTTATTGTCTCACATAGCGCTCTAGGTCTTTAACCTATTTGGTTTTAATTTTCTCATACAGGCATGGATTTACTTATCGGAGTTTGAGCATGACAGAGCCCCAGGATATCTAGTCAGGATCGCTCATTCAGGAGTGGATTAAAAGAAGATTTTCTTTTCTTTTTATGTTTCGAGTGTGTTTTTTTTTATTTTATGTCGTCTTTTACCTTTTAGTTTTGTATAGTAATGTCGAGTTTTATTATTACTATTGTACTTTCTATTTTGCATTTAAAAGGGTGTGTAATGAATCAAAACTCCAAAAAGAAATTGCGTTTTATATTTCCGTTAGGAATTTTCTTTAGGATACTAATTGTTGGAATGAAAAAAAAAAGTATTTTGGAGGTGGTTTTTCCTTTAGGCAATTAATATCTAGGACTTAAATAAAAATTATTTTTATATTTCCTTTACTATATTAGGACCAAAATTCAAAAAAAAATTCCTTTTAGTACCTTTTTAAAAGTTTTCTTTAAGGCATTAATCTCAAAAATCCAAAAAGATTTTCTTTTGAGGTTCTTCTTTGGGAAATTAATGAAAAAAAAATATTCTTTTATTTTCCCAAGAACTTCAGGATATTGTACATAGAAGAAAAAAGAATATACTTTATCTTTTGTTTAAAGTTTCTTCCTTTAAGCAATCAAATTGAAATCCAAAAACATGTTGTTTTATCTTTTTCATTGCTTGTTTCAAAATCCTGCATCAGGATATCAAATGAAAATTCAAAATATTTTTCTATGGTTTATTCTTTCGATCTTCTTCCTAAGAAAAAAAGAATCAAAAAATATTTTTTTTCTCTTTTAGGGTTTTTCCTTAATAATTTCCCATAGAGTGTTTGTTTCAAAAAAGAAAAAAAAAGAAAAAAATATATGCTCGTTAAGCTTGAGTTTGCAATAGGTTATAGAACATTAAGTCTAGAAAATGCAAAAAAAAAAAGATTTACTTCTTTTATTCCTCTTTTCTTATAAGAATAGTCCTTAAGGTAAAAAAAAAGAGAAAAGAAAAAAGAACGTTATTTTGTTTACTTTATTCCTGTTCTTCTAGAACTATGCAAAGATCTGATTCATGCGGCGTCATGATACGTAGGCAACCTACATAGGGTTCGATCGAATCATTTTTTTACTGTTAAAAGAAAAGAAAAAAAGGAAAAAGAAAAAAAAAGAGAAAAAAAAAGATGAAATTGTGGGATGTGAGAAATGAGAGGAAAGAAAAGAGTGAAATTAGAAAAAGAGGAAGGAAAAATGATCAAGCAAGTGCTAGAAAATCAAAGAAAAGGGATGATTGAAATGAACAAATTGGGATGATGCCAAGTGACCTTACGACCCTCGAAGTCATTCTAAAACCATTAATTGTTGCTAGGTGCATTGCACGCAATGTGATATTTTTTCTGTTAAATGCCTTAACGCTAACGGGATGACTCCATTTTGTTCCTTTTGATATCTTCATTTCAGAAAGGTGGTTGGTTTGTGGTTCTCGAAGTAGTAACTCCTCTCCACAACATAAGGTCAAAAGGCAATGGCGGACAACAACAAAATTAGGTTGATTGATACTGGTGCCCGAAAGTAGTTGGTTGAACAGGACACTGGTTTGGCTAATGAGGTAAGGATGTTAAGACAACACATGACGGACATGTATCAGGCCTAGATGACTGGGAAGGCACCACCCCCGCCACCATTTAGCTTCTTAGATGTTACCCTTACCCAAACTCCGGTCATAGCGCCGGATGATCCCCCATATTCTCCAAATCCACTCGTTTATCACAGTTTTCCCAACCGTCCTAGTAGCTCCATCACTCATCCTCCAATTACCTCTCCCTAAAATTGCCCTCTTGTCATATCCTTTATTCCCAACAATGAATATTCACTCAAAGCTCATGATGCCCAATACTACCCCGCAGATGTTGCCCACAAGGTTCCTGACTCATACAAGAAGAGCCCTCGGGATGAGCTTCATACTGAACATGAAAAAGTCACAAGAAAAGAAGGACGATATGAGATATTCAGGAAGCTGAAAGGCATAGAACAGTCCTTAAAGAACAAGCAAGGAATGGGAGGCCAGGGTAACATGTCTTACAAAGAATTGTCTGTGTCCCCTGATGTTCGCCTGCCCGCGGGGTTTAAAGTGCCAAAATTTAACTTGTATGATGGGTATGGAGATCCGGTAGCCCACCTGAGGGTTTATTGTAGTGAAATGAGAAGTGTTGGAGAGAAAGATGACTTGTTGATGGCCTATTTCAGTAAGAGCTTGACTGGGGAAGCTTTGGAATCGCATAATCGTCAAGATGTCGGTAAGTGGCCTACATTGGGTGACATGGCTCAAGATTTTGTTCGATACTTTCAATACAAATCAGGCGTTACCCTAGACCGCTCCTCCATACCTAAAATGGAAAAGAAGCCGGAGGAAAGCTTTAGGGAGTTTGGGCTTAGATGGAGGGAGCAAGTTGCTCAAGTCAGTACCCTGATTGGTGAAAAAGAAATGGTTGAGCTTTTCCTACAAGCCTAGGGGCCCACCTACTTCAGTCATTTGATCCCGGCCTTGGGTAAGCCTTTCAATGATGTGTTAAAAAGGGGGGAGATGGTAGAAGAGGGAATCAATTCAGGCAAAATCATGAGTTATTCGGCATTGAAAGATACTACAAAAGACATCAGAACATCCTAGTAAGTTTGGGTGGAAGAAAGAGAAATAGAAAAGATGATCCGATGGGCCTTCCTGCTCAACACTTCCAGCCTTGACATCGTCCCCGTGGATATCCTTGTGCACCAGATGACCCTCCCCAATGCTACTTCTCTCCACAGAACTTCCAAAGTCGTACATCACTTTCCCAGTACCCTGTCCACAATGCACCGCCATATGCTCCACACTCACAAGGCCCGCGATGGCCCACACCACTTCCCCAAATATCTTATCTGCCCCCACGAGTCTACTGAAACCCTCCTGTGTTAGGTTTCCGGCCCAATCAAGCATTTAAGAACGAGAGGTTGCAGAGAAAGAAAACCTTCACTCCATTGGGATAGTCATATGCCAGTCTGTTCCAAAGGCTAAGGAAATTGGACATGTTGAAGTCGATTCAGATAAAAATGTCAAACCCTCTTCCAAAGAAGCTTGATTTTTCTCAAAGGTGCGCATATTACTCAGATGCCCCGGGGCATGACATAGAGAAGTGTTGGCATCTGAAGAAAGCAATTCAGAAGCTCATTGATGTAGGTGACACTAGCCAAGGGCCATCACCTGTGCGTAATGAGACGCATATGGTGGGTATGATTTATTTTGAAATAGAATATGAGAATTCTTCTGAGATCCTCAGAGGTCCACACGCTACGAAGCTTTTAGCGCTATCAGAGGTTGATCCTAAGAACGAGAAGGCACAGGGAACCCAAAAGCAATTTGTTACGAACAATGTGATGGAGACTTGTGAAGGTCCTAGTATTGTTGATGCAGAAGTCAGTGGCTAAGATGCTGAGTTTGGTGATTGGAAAGACGCTCTTTTCTTGGTTAGCCAGGGAGGAGTTTTGGTAGTTTATTTTGTTGTCATTTCTGTTGTCCGGGTATTTCTAGGGTTGTAATTCAGATATTGTCTTGTGACTCAAACCCTTCTATCCTTTTATTTTGCCTAGTTGTTTAGTCATAGCAGCTCGTTTAGTGTTGTCTAGGTTTGTTATAGGTTTGTAACCCCAGTTTAGTTTGCTTGTTTTGTTGTTCAAATCCTTTCACCAGCTGTCTCATGCAATTTTCTGTTTTCTGTAACTGCTAGTCATTTTTGTTTAGTTCTCTTTTTTTATAGTTCTTTTCCTGTTAACTCTAGTGACATGACATGCACGCATAATTCTCAGCCTGATTTTAAAAGTCAATTTAGTCAGGAAGCAATGAAGCAATTTTGAAGATGTAGGGATAT